TTTTTAAAAAAAAAAAAAAAAAAAAAACATACCAACGCATAGAGTTACTTAAGATTAAGAATTATATCAAACTGAAATAATCAAGTACAAAATCTGCTCCTTAGAAACTAACGAAGGCTGCAAAGTAGCACTTCATGGTAGAAAATTTTACGTCTACATGAGTGAAGTATTAAAGATGTTAATTATAGTACAGCTTTTGCTGGATTAGAAATAATGTTTTGAAATACTAAATTCCGTAAAGCTGAATAAACTAATCCCCCGATTTTAAATACAGACAACACAATTTTAAATAAACTGTTCAGTGTCTCTTTTCTACCTTCTATGTTAGAAAAGGAGTGAAGTTGAAGGAAAAAGGATGGAATCACAGTTTAAATACTTCATGATAATGATAGGCATCATCAAATTTGAGTCCACTGAAGGGAAGATGACACTGGAAGAAGTTATCTCTTCAAATGTATAACTTCAGTAGTAGAAAGACCTAGTGTTCTGAAAAATACTTTTGCAGGACCACTTATGTTCATTAGGAATTAAAAATGTTAATACTTTACAATGTCAGAAGCCATGCAATAAGAGCCACCAAACCGGATCCTACAACACTAACACAACACAATAAAATTATTTGTCTGCGACACACATAAATAAGTTAATGTAAATCAAAACCAAGTCCAAGAAGGCAACAGTTAGATCATTAAAAGACGTCATAGAGAGAAAGATAAAAAGCCCTAGAATAAAATTTTAAGGACATGGTTCTAACTGGCTCCTCATTCTGTAAGTATTCTTTTTTTAACTTCTTTTATATATATATCTATATATATATATATATACTTTTTACTTTTACTTTTGGATAAAAGGCCTATTAAATATCAACTGATACCATTGACTTATAAGAACTTCAGTCTTTTTAGACTTTCAGTAGTTATATAGAAAGATCACATAATAAATTTTAATTGAAAGAATTACCAAAAGACAATCACGTAATATGAAATGGAAAACAGCCATAAGTAACTTCATAACAAGCAAAAAATATAAAGAGATTTTACCATCCTTCGATCAATCATGGAGCAACCATCAGCACAAAGTAGAGTTGGGAATGTATCAAACCCCTCCGACAGACATAAAGTTAAAATAAGTCTCATTCCCTTCTGACACTCTGGTGTTTCAGCCAGAGTTAGATCCCCAGTTGACTTTGTATAAGCACGGAGCAGAATGATCCACCAGAATCCAGAGTCAACAGGAGCAACTCTTCCTATCGCACTCTCTCCAAAATCAGCAACAATGGTATCGGTTTTTCTAACAGGATCATGAAGAACCTTAAAGCTAGCTGGCATTGCACCTTCCCCAAGCTTGAATCTGTCTATTCTTTTTTCCCATCCCTGAAGCTGCAGAGTCTTTAACAGGAAGTTCTTAACAATTTCAGGTTCCCCATTCATCAGGAAAGCCAAAGCACTTGGTACAAAATCCCGAACAAAAACCTGAGAGAAAAGCGATACACTCAATACATAATTCAGACTTTTGTTAAAGCCGTTACTAGTATACAACTATTTCTTATCAAATGCATAACAAATTGCGGTAAGAGATGGTGCAAGAGGCAGTTTTATGATTTGACTAACTTACATCAGGTTGTCTATAACCGTTCTGTCCACAAATTGTAAACATCAAAGAAAATCAAACTTTTGAGTCTTTAAGTTTTCAATGCATCTTTTGGTGCCCACTACTTACTTGACAAGTTCACTTACTTTTCATTTAAACTTTCTCAACAGAAGATAAAAATATTTTACATCGAATATATTAGTTGTTAATAGTTAATCTACAACACTGCAGTCTCCAGATTCACATGATTGGGGACTCTAGCATGTATCAAATAGTATGTCAAAATCATTATGCAAAGATATTAACCTGATCATAATTCAAAACTTCCTCTGAGGCATGATCAATAGCTGCAAGAGTTCCAACTGGTTGGCCCCGAAAATGCACCAAGGATCTCCGCAAAGAGTCCCATGCTTCAGCAATCATTGGGTGGGGCTCAAATGAGTTTCTGGTAGATGAAGCTGGGGTATCAAATCCTGACCTTCCACCAGGTGAATAGGAGCTCTCAAAGTTGTCCAAGCCTCCCTTAGCAAGGATGATGGACAGCTCGCTGAGGGACCTCTCATCAAATGATCTTTGCCTCTCAATATTGAGCTTAGGCTTATCGTGAAATCGAGAAAAATCATGCTCATCCATCTCAGACATTGAGCAATGAGAGCCCACATATCGAAGTCCAATCCCATCCATTTCCTTTTTCCTCTAAATGATTCAATCAAGAAATATGAGTGTTATGAACAGAGAGTTACATAGAGAGAAACAGTTAGTCATTCATTAAAACACAAGCGTTTGCAGAGCACAATATATTTAAAAGAATCAAACGACAATCCCTCAGTTTTTCAATTTAAAACGGAAACGTAAAGTTGATTGGAAAACCGGCGTTCTATGCTGTACAGGCAAAAATACACAAAGATTTTAACATTTAAAAAAACAAATGAAATGAACCCACCCATGACTCAGAAAAGGAAACGAAAAGTCAAACATATTACGTCCGCAAGCATTGAAGGAATGTGGGACAGATTTAGAAATGCTCATTAATTACCAGCAAGTTGATTTGCTAAAACTTAAATTCTCCATCATATTACAGGAAACTCAGCATATCAAATCCTTTCTTCAGCAAGAGAAAGAGTAAAAGTAACCCAAAAAAAAGGCATTTTAAACGTACATACACGCATACACTCCATCACCACAGATATTAATAACTAACCAACTAGCAAAATAAGAAATCACAAATAAATCACAGAGCAAAACAACCTTCAAAATAAAAGCGAAGAAAAAACGAAACACGTCGAAGAAAAGATCCTATAGAGAGCAGAACAAAAACACAAAAGCAGATAGCAGATCAAGAACACGATCAGGAAAAACACAGACACGAAACCAGAAAGAAGAGAGCAAGAAAAAAACAATTTCAAGAAATAATTAAAAGAAAAACGTAACAACAAGAGAGTAAAATTCCAGAGGTAGAACAAACAAGAGAGGTAGGCATCCATTCTCCAGCGTCAAACTCACCAGATCTGAAGCTCCACAAACGATCAGACACAACAAACATCAACAAAAGAGATAACGAGAGGCAGAGAGAGAGAGAGTACCTGAGAGAGCAGAAATGAGGAAGAGGAGAAATCAGAATGAGCGGCGGCGATTTGGCCGGGAAATGGTCGCCGGAGAAGGAAGAAAGTTGGGGAGAGCGAACGGGGGGGAAAACAAGAGGAAAAAGGGAAAAAAAAAAAGACAGTTTGTCAACAGCTGGTATTTATAGCTGAGGAAGCGGGAAGGGGACCGGTCCTAGTCCGTATTTCTCTCTCTAATCCAATTCCAAACTAACACATCGGAGTTCCAAATGTAAGGAGAGAGAGTTTGCCGCCACCGGGAACTGCCGGTGACCTGTGTCCGACGTGGACAAAACGACGCAGTTTTCTGGTGCCCCTCTGACAACTCTGCCGTTGCAGAATAAATAATTAATAAAACGCGGCCAAAATTAATTCCCTTTTCTTTTTTCTTTTTTTTTTTTTTAGATTTTTTATTGGATACAGAAATGAAATGAAATGGGGGAAGGGAAAGCTCATTTATAGGGGAAATCAAGAGCGTGATTTTTGACCAAATCAAAAAGGTTGCGGTTAAGTGAGGGCAATTTTTCCCTTTTTTTCAAAGGTTATTTTCGTCATTATGTCAACGTCGATAAAAATGTTCAACCGAGTTCAAACTTTCATAAATATATCATATACGTTAGGAATCACGACTCTCTACAATGGTATGATATTGTCCACTTTAAGTATTATAAACCCAGTCGACCTAGGACTCACTCCCAACAATCCTCAACAATCCTCCCCTCGAACAAAGTACACTTATGGAGCTCTCGAACAACCTCCTCTTAATCGAGGCTCAACTCCTTTCTCTAGAGCCCTCGAACAAAGTACACCCTTTGTTCGACACTTTAGTCACTTTTTTACTACACCTTCGAGACTCACAATATTTGTTCGATATTTGAGGATTCTACTGTCATGGCTAAGTATAGAGCATGGCTCTGATACTATGTTAGAAATCATGATTCTCCATAATGATACGATATTGTCCACTTTGAGTATAAACTCTCATGGCTTTGCTGTAGTCTTCCCCAAAATGTCTCATACCAATAAAGATGTATTCCTTACTTATAAATTCTTGATCATTCACAATTTAGTATTTAAATTTTAGTTTGTGACGATTTATTATTTAAATCCTTTTGATTTTATGTTAACATTTAGTCTCCGTATATTAACATCTGTATGCAGAGATGTCCACGAAACTTGCATGTCTCTACCTCCTATTTCAATTTTCATCTCCCGAGAATTTTACATAATAAAAAATGGGGTGGGAGGAAATTTAGGCATAGTAATAGGAGGCGGCGACAAGGTTGAGGAGTATAATTCACATTTTCTTTCTGCAAGGCCGTAGTCCCGTAGATTAATGGACATCTCTGTCTGTAAACGTTTGAAGAGACTAATTTATCATAAATTTAAAAATATAAAAATTAATTTTTACTTAAAAAAAATAAATTAATTAAAATGTTGAAAGTTTATTACCTACCTAAAAATAAAATTATCTTGCCAGAAATTATTACTTGGTTTTACTACTTTTATTACCGTTGGAATATGGGGAAAAAAGTTGGTGGAAATCTTGATGTGTTCACATTAGGGTAATTATTTTTGTTTGTTTTTATATATTTTTGGAAAATTTGTATTTATTTATTATTATTATTTTTTTCAAATTATATTCAAATTGTAAAAAATAAAATATAATAGTTTTCAATTTTTTTCTTAAATTTTTATTTTAAAAATATAAAGACACGAGAGTACAGGGACCAAATTGGAAATTTAAAAAGTACGTGGACTGATCCAAAAAAACCGATAAAAGTAAATTTTAAATATATTTTTTAAAAAAATAAAAAATTTTATTTTAAAATTTTATTTTAAAAAATGGAAAATATAGAATAAAATTTTAAACACGACTAGAAATTATATTTAATGTGAAATGCACATATAATATATAATTATTATTATTTTTCTAATTTTAATAAAATTTTAAAATGTCAATGAAATTCACAAATTAAAAATTGATTAAAAAATAAAAATGTGATTTAAAACTATAATTAAAATATAGTAAGTATAAAACATTTTTATTTTATAAAAAATTAATATTAAATTTAGAATTTTATCTAATTTAAAAATGTTTTATACTTATTATATTAATTTTAAACAACTGGCATTTATAGAATACTTAAGATTTAAGTAATTTGTAATAACGTGGTTAATAAATAAATAAATAAAACCGACAATAATTCCAAAAATAATTTTCAAAATTTATTGAGTGACAATTATATTATAAAGTTTTTTTTTTTTTTTTTTTTTTTTAATAATTATACACGGATCCTAGCAACTTGCAATAATAANAAATTTTTTTTTTTTTTTTTTTTTTTTTTAATAATTATACACGGATCCTAGCAACTTGCAATAATAAAATGTTTAATTAAGTAAATAAATCTGACAAATCTTATCCAATATATTATTTTAATAATTTTTGTGATGGTAACGCTCTTGTTAACCATCTATTCTTCTTATTCGTAACGACTCGTGTTTAGGATTCAGTATCTAATGACCCCGACATTCATTTGTGACATGGTTACGTTATCTACGTTCCTCGTTTTTTAAGAGGGAAGACTCTCTCCATGAACCAACACGGGTTTGAATTTATTTTATTGTCATAGGGAGTGACTTTCAATTCTTTTAAATATTTCTTAGTCGTCCTACTTTCAGGATAACTCTCATTCAGATGTGGTCTCGGTTTATTCATGTATCTCTCTTTTATTCGGGTGTCATATGATCACTCCTATTAGGATGCGGTATCGATTCTGTATTCGTTCTTTACTCGAACATCACACTAACTTAATTTTAAAATCATGTTAGTCCTTTGCTATGCTCGAATTGAGCTTAGGGTTAGAAAATCGATTAATTATTCAATTACTTAGACTCGAGCACATGAATTATGTCATCGTGTTCATGGTTCCCGTCCCTAATTTCCTTATGTCATTTTTAGCTGTTTTTTTTTTTTCCCAACTAGTGGGAGTTTTTTGTTGGGATGTTTCTCTTAAATTTCTCGTTCTCTATGTCGGAGAATTTGTTCACTTAGTTTATTGTGTTTTTAGACAACTCTTTCTTTTGTCTAGTTACGAATTCACTTGTCGGTTCCTTGTCGCTTATGTTTTTTTTTTCCTTTTTGCTTTATTTTATATTTTGAGTCTCGACATAACCCTCTTCGGGTGAGATGATCAAAATTGATTTAATATATTCACAAATTTCCTCCAAAAAAAAAAAAAAAATTCTCGACCCGACATGCAACCGAACTTTTTAATAAATATTAGTAAAATATTGAGAAAAAAATTGTGTTGGTGGATGAAAGTCCCACGTCGGCTAATTTAAGGAATGATCATGAATTTATAATCAAGAAATACTATCTTCATTTATCTGAGACCTTTTGGGAAGCCCAAACCAAAGTCATAAGCTTATGGAGAGTCGTGTTCGTCTAATTAAAAGGCCATTTTTAAAATTTTTTAATTTAATTAATTATTTATATTGATTATTATTATTATTATTATTTTGAACATTTAATTATATAAATAAAAATATTTATATTAATCTCACTGTAATAATGGAAATTGGAAGATATTTTCCACACCTACCGACCACCAAATCACGTGGATAATGCCGAGGGGGCATATGGGGTCCACGTAAGCTTCAAGAGGAAGTTTCGTCCACGTCAGCATTGAGAAAAGCTGACTGGGATAAATTATTAAAATGGCAATCCTGTCGATAATTTCCTCCTCTATTTCACCAACAAAATAATTTTATTTTTTTTTTTAATAAAAAAAATCCAAAATTTATTTTCGATTTTTAAAATGTCACGTGGTAATCGTGTTTATGGGGCCGTTTGATTTCTGAAATCTATAGTCTAAATCTTTTAATGCCTCACATAGTTGTTTGAAAACATTTATGAACGTATTTATAAATAATATATTATTCCAACCATATTCTTATTTATCTTCGTATCATTTATATATTAATTTAAAATTTATGTCTATTTCTAACTTGAAATATTTCGGATTTGTGTTAGATGAACACTGATTCTCGCCACTTTAAATATAAGCTCTCATGATTTTGTTTTGGGCTTCTTCGAAATGGGAGCAGCCTGGGAGCAGCCTAAATTGTGAAAACGAGGTTGTGAGAGAGTAGCATCCTAGATGGCGAGGTCCAGTAGTCGAAAGCATCACTAGCTTAGGCTTTGACCCGAGTAGCATGGGGCACATGGAATCCCGTGTGAATCAGGAAGGACTACACGAGGTTGTGGGAGAGTAGCATCCTAGATGGCGAGGTCCAGTAGTCGAAAGCATCACTAGCTTAGGCTTTGACCCGAGTAGCATGGGGCACATGGAATCCCGTGTGAATCAGGAAGGACTACACGAGGTTGTGGGAGAGTAGCATCCTAGATGGCGAGGTCCAGTAGTCGAAAGCATCACTAGCTTAGGCTTTGACCCGAGTAGCATGGGGCACATGGAATCCCGTGTGAATCAGGAAGGACTACATTGTGGTAGAGTGTTGCACCCTAGATGGCGAGAGTCCAGTAGTCGAAAGCATCACTAGCTTACGCTTTGACCCGAGTAGCATGGGGCACATGGAATCCCGTGTGAATCAGGAAGGACTACATTGTGGTAGAGTGTTGCACCCTAGATGGCGAGAGTCCAGTAGTCGAAAGCATCACTAGCTTACGCTTTGACCCGAGTAGCATGGGGCACATGGAATCCCGTGTGAATCAGGAAGGACTACATTGTGGTAGAGTGTTGCACCCTAGATGGCGAGAGTCCAGTAGTCGAAAGCATCACTAGCTTACGCTTTGACCCGAGTAGCATGGGGCACATGGAATCCCGTGTGAATCAGGAAGGACTACATTGTGGTAGAGTGTTGCACCCTAGATGGCGAGAGTCCAGTAGTCGAAAGCATCACTAGCTTACGCTTTGACCCGAGTAGCATGGGGCACATGGAATCCCGTGTGAATCAGGAAGGACTACATTGTGGTAGAGTGTTGCACCCTAGATGGCGAGAGTCCAGTAGTCGAAAGCATCACTAGCTTACGTGCTAACCGGAGTAGCATAGGGCACATGGAATCCCGTGTGAATCAGCAAGGACCACCTTACCAATAGTGAAGTAGTATTATTTGATTATAAACTCATGATCATTCCTTAAATTAGCCGCTGTGGGACTTTCATCCAACACCTCCCCTTGAACGAAGTACGCCTCCCCTTAATCGAGGCTCGACTCCTTTTTCTTTTGGAGTCTTAGTCATTTTTTACTATGCCTTCGAGGCTCACAATACCTTTGTTCGATATTTGAGGATTCTATTGGCATGACTAAGTTTAGGCACATGACTCTGATACCAATGGCATGG